AGAAATACCACAAGACAAATCACTAGTTAAACGTCGAAGAACCAGAAAGAAATACTACAAAAAAAAAATTATGATTATTAATTGTTTATATTTGATCTCCAATCCAAAAATGATTGGTCAATTATACAAATTTTGGGATTTGGGTCAAAAAGTCAGAATACACGTGATCTGGAAAATCTCACCTATATCCTGTATCTGTAAGTATAACTGGTATGATCGCAATGCAAATAGTCACATAAGATGGTTATAAAAGACTTTCTAGAAATAATGAAATCTCATAAAAGATAACGATCTGTTATTTTGTAACCTAAAGAAGGCAACTTATATGTATTAATATTATCTGACAAATTAATAACTGAAATATACCAATAGTATCCTTGATATATCTTCTTAAACATTATTAGAAGTAATATAGCACACTTTTTATAAAGCGTATGCAATTGCTTGGGAGAGTATAGATATTTAGTTGAATTTACAAAATATTGTTAGAAAGCATTGTCTCCCCAATGTTGAAAGATAAAGTATGCCTTCCTTTGCAATTGATTCACCTCAAAAAACTTGGGTATATGTCATCAAATTATACTATAAACAAGCTCTACAGGACAATCGCTTAAAGAAGAAAGATTGTTAATAATTATTTCAATCATAGGATGATTTATCTCCATCCAGTAAAAAATATCTAAGAAAAACATTAAAGGTACGCGTTTATAATTTCTTTGGTCAAATTGAAGAAAAAGGTCACTTCAGCAGCGCATACAAGCCTCTTCATAAGTCGGCTAGTTATCTTTTTGATGGTATACAGTATAAACTTCAAGAACTAAAGGAATTAAATTATTCAAAAGATTGGTTAGATATAAAAATTCTATATTTTTACAAGTATGAAATTTTGAATAAACTATATCAGCTATCTCAAGCTATGCTATGTGCAGTAGGGCAAAAATAGGAGTTCTAGATCACTTTTTCCATATCTTCATATGACTTATATACCAAATTGCATTTTCAAGTCATTCCTGCTATATTTTATATCATTTTTATATACTTTAGCTTGGTGTATTTTTTTTTATAGCTAGAATTCTTTATTTTTAATTTATATAGCTAAAATGGATGACGACTAAAAAATAAATTCTATATAACTCAATATTAATATACCTGATACCATTATAAGCCTTTCTTCTTATCTAAACATTTTATAATATAATACCTTTTAGCATGTTTTTTACATAATCCAGGTTCAGAACTAGTAGGCTTACTACAAACAATATAGGGATAACGCTTTTTAGATTTCCAATGATCAAAGTATCCTTCAGATCATCGACAACCACATCCATAAACTTTACCAGAGTTATGTAAATAATCACAAGTATATTCACCTATCATGATATATAAATATGAAAATTTTAATTTAAACAAAAAGTCTGGTATATTAATACAAACAACAGAATACTAGCACCTATATATAAAATGATATCTCCATGTCCAAGGTGTGGAAAAGATGATTTCAAAAAGACTCGAGATAGAGATGCATATATAAATCGAAAATTTCTATGTAAACTTAGTAATACCCAAAATTCTATTGTAGCTTCAACACCATTATCACAAAATTCAGCTACAGATCAAATTCTGATACAAAACTATGTTCCAGTAAGTGATTTAATCCAATTAAATGATACACTCATCATCTATTCAAAATATATTTCCAGATCTACTCCAAAATGATACTGAATGGTTTGATAATATAGAAGATAGATATAATGCAAGCACTGATGAAAAATGGCTCAAATTAGCTAGATCCTTGCTTTATGACTATCCAAAAAGAAATATCATAACTGTAGAAAGCAATTTTGGTAGTAATCCAGTAAGAAAAATTATAAATTAACGAACAAAAAGTTAATATTCAAAAAATATGAATCTAATTTAAATCTTTTAAGACCACATCAGAACTTAACAATGATGAGTTTATGGCAAGCAGTTATTCCATCTTCTGAAAATATAAAATATAGATTCAATCATTAAGTTGAGAACCCCAATAAATATTTAGAAGCCTCATATATGCCCCAGCTTATAGCAAATACAAGAGAACAAATTACAAGAGTCCTTAAAGCCAAATTGTATAAAAAAGATCAAATAAAAACCACATTAATTGCTCAATGTATATATTCTGGGCATGTTAGCAAAGAGAAGAGCAAACTTAAAAGTTCATTAACTATAATTGCTTATCACAGAAGCCTCATGCGTGTTATTCTTTCAGAAGAAAATATCAATAAATATGTAAATTTATCTATATCAGAAATAGATAATACTATAGACTTATTTATACAAGAAGGATCAGGAATAAATTTAGTAAGGATTGAAATATTAACTATTAAAGCTTATACTTATCAAAGAACAACTAGTGGATCATATATCTCTACTCTCAAAAAACTTGCCAATACAAAGTGTACTATTAATTCTGATAATTTAGAAATAATTAATCCAATTACTGATATACCATCTGATAATTGTCTTTAAGGTACATTGGCTTGTTATTTTGCTAATAAAGATAGATATACATATCATCTTGATTGAATATTTACCAAAAAGGATTATAAGCAATACTTGAATATTGTTAATTTAGATACACAGATCAAATATAGAACTATCGAGTAGATATCAATATGTCGATATGTACTGATAGTTAACACCAATAAGTATCCGATATGACTTCTATATTAAACAGAAATTTGGCTAATATAGAGCACCTATCGAATAAATATCAGCACCATATCAGTGACATATCAGTAATATATCAGTGCTATATCAGCAATCCAATTTGTAATATAAAAAACCTGATATGTATCCTAAGTTTTTTAAAACCAGATACATATCAGGTTATTAAAAGCTTATTGGTATAAACTATATTTACTAAAGAATTTAAATTTATACATATTGATATAAATTAAAATTTTTTATTTAAATATTTTACATGCTACATAAATTTAGCCAAAAGAAAACTCCAACCCCAAGTACTCTAGCCATGGCAAAGAAATGACTTGTTATATAACAATCTGCAGGTAAATTAGTTAATAATGAAATTCGAATTTGACATAATGTAATATGATTAGAAAAAATTAAAACAACGTTCATTTTTTCAAAAATCCCTCATTTCTCGAACATTTTCATAAGAAATCGACTTCCGTGCTTTAACAAAAAATTTTTCTTAAGGAAATTTACTATATGCTACTAAAAACTAACCTAATATAAGCATTAAGGGGTAGTTCACAGCTGAAGGGTAAAAATTTCATAGTGAAAATTGGCGGAATCACTTATAAAATTTTAATAGTAGTGGAATGGCCAACAATTTTCACAAAGAGTACTATGTAAACTTCTTTTTTTACTAAGTAAGTCT